CCTCCCATTATTGTTGTTGGTTAAAAACCCTGGTCATTTGCTATATGGATCAGGGGGTGTGGACTCGAGTAACTAGGTGCTGTCTCGACTGTGCTATCCACCTGCGCCCTCCCCCGACTCCAGTATTCTTGACTATGTTTTGACACTGGGTTTACGTGGGGGAAGAACAGATTGTGGGGTAGATACAGCACAAATCTACTGTCACTATAATCTACTATTACTATAAATCTACTATCAATATAAATCTACTATCACTACAACACAAATCTACGATCACTATCACGCGCAAGTCATCGTCCCTGCTCCAAGTTGCTGTGGGCACACGATAAACATCGTCGGAAGCGACGGCCGAACTGTCGGTTGACGAGGTATCAGGAGTGATTCGGTCGGTGGTGGGGGTGGTAGGGGTGATTTTATTCGCCATCGCCGCGGAGATAGTAGCAGAAATGATAGGGGTGGAGGTTGTCGACAGCGGTGGGATGCGGGAGTTCAAAACGATGGCGTTGAGGATGGCCGCCGTCGTGATCGGCGCGCTGTAGCGGCAAGGGCGATCCTGGAGGCAGTAATTGCGGTTGTCGGGCAGTTGGTGCTCCGAGTCTGAAGATGACTGACGAAGCCGATCTGCGAGCGGAATGTTCGTTGGCAGCACCTGCATGCTAGGTGGGGCTAAGTGACGATGCTGCGGGTCAGGGGCGTCTGAAACTTGAGAGCTTCCCTCTTGCTTTGGCGACGGTGATCCGGTTCGTTTCAAACATTGCTGCGCCTATTTCCTTGCTATTGCTCGCAGAGCCTTAAGCTCCTATTCCGCGTGTAGAGATGGAAGATCATCACATTCTTAAAAACCCGGTGAACTTACCCGTGACGCCACATCTGCTGTAATAACGCTTTAAGCTGATCGTTAAACCGGGGACCGTCCTACACGTAAACTCCGGCCGGAATCGCGTCAGATACCGGTGACTTTCCCCTAAATGGTCGGTTCACGGCCAAATTGTCTCTGCAAGATATGGAGGGAGATTCAGGTTATCATTCGCTTTCACCTGGGGTAATCGGTTAATGTCTGCGTCGGAGACTGTAGAGAAACGGTTGAGGACGCATCTGAAGGGTTCGGTCCAGCGCTTCAGAATCTGTGACTTCTTCGCCAGTTGCGTTGCTTCGCCAGAGCTAAGAAGTGCGCGGCCCTCCTGGTGGGGGCCGCAGATCGCCTTGAGTGATGCGCGGAATTTTTAAAGTTCATCGCGGTCGACATACCCCTGGATTTCGTTGGCCTTACGGGTCATTCAGGCGTCCTGTATCTCCCTCAGCCACTGCTGCACGGAGAAACGATAGCAAGGGAAGGCCTTCTTATTTGTGGCAGTCCGATGGTCCACGTGGGCTTTGTGCAGCCGCTAACATTCAGTGGGCAATTGCCTGATGTCGGCGTCGTCTCGAAAGCAGTCCTGACGCTGGCGACGTGCATGACCGATGGCGTCCAAAGCAGTCCGCATTTGGCCGCGCAGAGTCGCAACGGTGGCGTTGTCGTCCGCGACTGGCAATTTCATCAGGAGCTGGTCTAACTGACTGCTGAACTGGGACGGTAGTTTACCTGGTGGCCTCCTGCTAAGTTGCGATCGGAATCTCATCTTGAAGGTAACGAGGTGATGATCCGCCCAGCCGTCGGCGTTGCAGATCACCTTGGTCATCAGCACGCCCGGTCGTTCCCGCCTCCGGATGAGGTTATAGTCCGGAAGGTGCTAGTGTCACAAAAGAGGGTGAATCCTGGTTGCCCACTTCCGCATGAGCAGGCGGAAGAAGGTGTAGGTAACCAGGAGGCAGTGTTATGCGCAGGTTCCTGGCAGAAGCGGACCACTGCCGTTGCAGCCGCCGATTCTGTGAGGACCCAGCACTTCCCTGCAGGTAGCACAGTCTGCCCCGACGCCGGCATTAGAGTCACCGAGGACGACCAGCTTATCCGTCTTCACTACAGCGGACAGGAAGCCGTGGACTCCCTGAAGCAGTCCATAGACCAGGGAAGGGATGAAACGGAGGGTCACTGTTATTTTTCCGAGTGTTTTGATAGCGAGTTCTGCGTCTGTTGCCCACGGTACAGATGCAGAGGACGTGAATCCGGCATTTGTTTAGGATGCCTTTTCTAGTCCCTTTCTCTTCGAATGGGTAATCAGTGCTGTCCATGCAAATGGCTGCCTAGATATCCCATATAAGGTCTGACGACAAGATGCAGCGTCCGAGAGTAAACTTTCTTCAAATCCTTTAGGCACGGAAGCCAACAATTTGATGTGATAGGAAGATTATAAAGAGAATACGAACGCTTTGTTCAGCAAAACTTTGCGGGAGCAGTGAAATCAGTTGGCCGCCACCTCATGCATTCGCAGCTGATCCTAAACACCAATTCCGTCTACTGTTGTCTAAATGCTGATTCCTGGCGGAGAGAACACCCGATATGAGAGTAGAAAACACATTAATTTAGTTATGAGACCTTGCCTGGATTACTCATTAAGCACAAACTAAGTCAACTGGCCTAATTTGTGGATATCAGACATCAAAAAACAAACCAACGAGGAGGATATCTCAGCAGGAATTTTTACAGAAAGGATGAAACAGTAAAATATGCGAAACAACTCTGTTGGAGAACAGAAGCTGAGATATAATTTTCAGGTAGTGGTTTGATCTTGAGAGTAGTGGGTGGTGCATCCTTTGCAAAACACCTTAATACTGAGTTCGAACCCGTCCCTTTCTTTCGTTAACTTTCAGATAGGACACTGAGTACAATCGATGTCTCCTCAGATCTCATTAAGAAACACATAAGTCATTTGAAAATCTCAAACTGCTCAGGAACGGACGGATTCCGAACTCGATTATTAAACAGGCATCCGACCTCCACATATTGCTTAACCATTTATTCTCGGTTTATATTTCAAGAGGATTCTTTCCCGAAACACGGAAGACGTTAATTATCATTCCTGTCTTCAAGTCTCTATCTCGGTACGATGTTAATAACTATCGGGGCGGGCACAAAACACCATCTCTAGCAAAGCTTCTTGAAAGGATGATTTTCAAAAAATTCTTGAATTCTGTCTTGCTACTCGGTTTCTAGCTCTGTTAAGCATGGATTTTTACCTGAACGATACCATGAAACTTGTCATCTGGCATTTCTTCATCTAATCACTTCTCTTCGCAATGAACAGCGGTCAGTGATAGTTATATACTTTGATCTTAGGAAAGCCTTCGACAAGGTGCCCCATAGACGCCTTCTAGTAAAGTTGGAAGCCCTCGGCATCCGGCCGCCTCTACTCAACTTCACCAGATACTTTCTGTCCAACCGGTATCGGAAAGTCATAGTCGGTAATAGTTACTCAACACCTCAGTCGATCACGAGTGGCGTACTTCAAGACACTGTTCTATGTCCTCTAATCTTCCTTTATTATATCAATGATATTTCGACTGCACTCAAAAATGCGCAAACTTTTATTTATGCCGATGACCGCAAGTGTGTTTGCTCATACTGTAACACCCCAACAGAACTGACGGAGAAAAACTCTTTTGTTTTAATCGCGATCACTCTTTTGTAGGTCGATCGTGAAGACTGATCACCTGTGAACGATCGTCGACGGCTGTCGTCCCGATAAGTCCCTTCTTGAACACTTTTCACTTATCTGCTTTATTGTACCGTTACGCTTACATGGTTTGCTGTACCGTTTTTCCCTTCAGTTTTCCTCGCCGTGTTCCGCGTATATCCATACACCCTCCGAGCCCCTAACTTTTTCACTCATGACTGTTTTTCCGCTGTTTCCTGTGGTTCATCCATTTTCAACACAGTTACATAATAAGTTTTAGTTATACTCTTCCTCTCGTATACAATAAACTGTTGCATTTCCCAACCGTCGTTTAACATCCCCCACTGACTTGTGTGACTGTATGCGAATGCTTGCGTAATGGACATCTTAGGCTCGAATACTCCCGACTCAGAATCGCTGACCAAGAAGAGGAAGCCATACTCGGAATCGAGCGATCTACCGGCAGTATCCTCCCCGAACTCGCGAGATATTACAATGGTGGCAGCCGGTGAGCGCACCGGCGCTTTCCCCATTCCACACCTGATCTACCCCACCCCCACCCACCCAACTGTCTAGCACCCTACATCCCTACGGACCTAGCCCACTACTAGCCCCCGAACCATACGTGCCAGGGCAGAACATCCGAGAGTGGCTCGAAGACCTTACTCTCCTCCTAGTGAGCGTCCCCCTCATGAACACGTATGCTACCTCTTACGCTTTCTTTCTCCCCACGCCCGTAGGCTAGCGTTTGATGCCGGCCTAACACCCAAATCTGACTTCCAAAAAGCCTCCGAAGTCCTCTTGCAACTCTTCGCCAGTCCTGACGCCTCAGCCTTGGCGAATCAGTGGTTCGCCACGCTACGACAACGGCCCGGCCAATCAGTTGACGACTTCGTCCACGACCTACTACGTCTGGCTGCAGCGGCTTTCACCGATCTCCCAGAGAGTGACCGCGACCGGTTTATTCTCCACCATTTCATCGCCGGCTTAAGGGACCGCACCGCTAGCGGTGTACTCTTGTTACACCCACCGGCCAGCCTGTCCCCAGCTATTCAGCAATGTTGGCTCTACGAAGAGTGTCACTTGAGAGCGACTGGATCCCCACACCGCACCAACAGCCCCACCCGCACGACCCCCCCCCCCCACTTAACAAACGACCTTCCACTTTACCAGTGCGATTCCGAACCACAATCCCGGATGCCCTTATTGCGCAGCGTTCTGACCACAAGTTTGGCGATGCGGACACAACCAGCCAAGTAAGTCAGTCTTCATTGCTCCTATTTACCTGGCTTTATCGTCTCACCCACCCTCTTTTACAATTCCCGCTACACTAGTCGGTCACAAGATACTAGCTTTAGTAGATACAGGCGCCAACCTGTCCCTCGTGAACAGCCCCAGCCTCACTCGCGAGTTACACGAGCAGATCGACCACATGAGTGGCCCCAAACCATGCGTGCCGCGAACGGCACCCTTATACCCATCTTGGGTCGCATAACCCTAGGCCTCACTATAGACAACACAGAGGTGACGTACACATTCCTGGTGACATCTGATAGTCCGTGGGCCCTAGTTTTAGGGTTGGATCTCCTGGCGGACTACTATTCCGTTATCCATACCAAGAGTCGCCGTCTGTCAGTCCCGACACGCCCAGATCTCCCCACCCATACGCCATCAGAGAACCTCGATCTGATGTACGACGCCGTGGTAGCAGCCGCAACACTAAAGCCGTCCGACATCGACGCGAACCTACGTCCAGCAGAAGCAGTCGGGTCAGACAATCGCGATAAACTACGTAAACTCCTATTGTCATTTCCCGGGTTGTTCACCTGGTCAACCTATACAATCGGGCGCACCCGCAAAGTTCAACATACGATTAACACGGGTGACGCGAAACCCATTTGGCAATCCCCATGCCGAATACCAGTACGGTTCCGCGCAGAGGTTGACAAAATCATAGACGAACTGCTTAAAGCCCACATTATACAGCCGTCTTCCTCTCCATGGGCGTCACCGATAGCCTTAGTCCCCAAAAAAGACGGCTGCCTCCGTCTCTGCATAGACTATCGCCGCCTGAATGCCGTCACTGTCCGTGACTCATTTCCCTTGCCGCGTCTCCACGACACCCTAGACAGCCTTGGCGGAGCCGCCTGGTTCTCGACCCTAGACCTTAAGTCAGGCTATTGGCAGGTCGAGATCGACCACAAAGACCGTCCGAAGACCGCATTTATCGTTCCGCAAGGGCTGTTCGAATTCCAGACGCCTCCTTTCGGACTATGTAACGCCGCCGCCACTTTCCAACGATTGATGTACCAGGTGTTACGACACCTTGTCCCTCACAAATGCCTCGTATATCTGGACGACATCATCGTTTTCGGACCCGATGTTGAGCAACACAACCGCAATTTAAGAGAGGTTTTAGAAGCCCTCCGCGATGCGGGCCTGACCCTGAACCCGGCCAAGTGCACATTTCTACGGCCAGAAGTACAATTTCTGGGCCATAAGATTTCCCCAGGGCGCATAGCCGCTCTACCGGACCGCTTACAACAGATCCGTACATGGCCGACTCCCGCCAACCAGACGCAGTTGCGCAGTTTCCTCGGACTTGCCTCCTTTTACCGACGGTTTATCCGTAATTTCGCCCACATTGCCGGCCCTCCCCACAAGCTGACAGAGAAAGGTAGGGAATTCAGATGGTCCCCAGAATGTGAAGAGGCCTTTACTAACCTACGTGCCGCCCTCGTATCCGCCCCACTTCTAGCTCTCCCGAACGTCGATCATGACGCACCTCCTTTCATCCTTGATACAGACGTCAGCGGCTTTGCCATCGGCGCAGTATTGTCACAAACAGACTCCCAGGACGTCGAACATCCCGTCTGCTTTGCGAGTAGCACGCTGACGAAGGCTCAGCGGAACTACTACACATTCCGCAGAGAGCCATTAGCCATAATTACATTTATACGGCAGTTCAAGCACCTCCTTATTGGGCGCAGTTTCATACTACGAACCGATCACAAGGCCTTGCAGTGGCTTTAGTCCATTAAAGACCCTATGGACCAGCTCGCCCGTTGGCAAGAATTTCTTCAAAATTTCGATTTCGAATGCCAACTCTGGCCTAGGCATAAACACGGCAACGCCGACGCCCTCTCCCGACTATCCGATCCCCCGCCTACCGAACTCGAAAACCATACGACTTCCGTTAACGCCAGTACGATGTCGGAAACTACCCGCCACACCTAGGCAGAAGCACAGCGTACTGACCCCGACATCTCCACCATTTGCCACCACTTGATGAACAACCTCAATAAACCTCTGGAAGCCGACATGCGAGGATCCGGGTGCCCGGGTGCCTCATCGAATCCGTACTGGCCGACCTTCACGCCGAGCTGGGTCATTGTGCACAGAAGCGCACTGAACTAGCCGCACGCATGAGGTTCTGGTGGCCGCAACTCCGAGCGTCCAGCTACCACTTCTGCCAGTCCTGCGATACATGCGCATCTTTTAAGTCTCCTGTGTCAGCACCCCCGGCTCCCATGTAACCCATGACCAGGGGTTTCCCCGGAGAACGCGTGGGGCTAGATATTATCGGCCCCCTCCCTATATCCATGCGCGGGTTTGAATACATACTAGTGATGATAGACTACTTCACGAAATGGGTCGAAGCGGTCCCACTACTCCGCCAAGACGTCACATCCGTCGCGAACGCCGTCAACAGGTCCTGAATTTGCCGTTGGGGCCTCCCCTAGCCTTCCACACCAACTGTGGGAGCAATTTCGACTCACGACTCTTCCAGGAAGTTTGCCGCACTCTGGACGTCAACAAAACCCGCACAACTCCCTATCACCCCGAAGGCAACGGCCTCGTCGAACGAACCAGCCGCACCCTTCACAACTATCTTCTCGCCTTTTGTAAAGACAGTCACGAACATGACTGGGACACACAACTACCCTTCTGCCTTATGGCATACCGGAGCTCAATCCACTCCTCCACCGGTTTCACACCCCGTAACCTCTGGACTGGGCGCGACCTACGTCTTCCAGTAGACCTTCAACACCCCTTGGACGTACCCGACCCCAATTCCGTTACCACATACGCCTCCGAACTCCGCGAAACAATTCGGACCGCCTATAACGCAGCATGCGAGACGCTCGGCGCATCATCAATCCTCCAGAAAACACAGTGCGACCGCCGTTCGACCGGAACCACACATCAAATCGGCGACTTGCTTATGCACCACAACCCAATACCTCCGCGAGGAGTGTCAGCCAAATTTCATTACCCGTGGCAAGGCCCCTTTGTCATCCTAGATACACCGTCCCCCACGACCTACCTCTTACGCGACGCTTCCCAACCCCACGCGCCATGCTTCACAACAAACTTCAACAAACTCAAACCCTACCGCGATCGTCTTCCCATCTGCACACCCATCTCCCTACCCATTATCCCATATGACCAGGTCCCCCCAGCGGCAGTCGAAGTCACTATACCCTCCCCCATTATACCCAACAGCACTGAGGACAGTGCTGCATCTTCGAAAGGGGGGCTATGTAACACTCCAACAGAACTGACGGACAAAAACTCTTTTGTTTTAATCGCGATCACTCTTTTGTAGGTCGATCGTGAGGACTGATCACCTGTGAACGATCGTCGACGGCTGTCGTCCCGATAAGTCCCTTCTTGAACACTTTTCACTGATCTGCTTTATTGTACCGTTACGCTTACATGGTTTGCTGTACCGTTTTTCCCTTCAGTTTTCCTCGCCGTGTTCCGCGTGTATCCATACACCCTCCGAGCCCCTAAAGTTTTCACTCATGACTGTTTTTCCGCTGTTTCCTGTGGTTCATCCTTTTTCAACACAGTTACATAATAAGTTTTAGTTATACTCTTCCTCTCGTATACAATAAACTGTTGCAGTTCCCAACCGCCGTTTAACATCCCCCACTGACTTGTGTGACTGTATGCGAATGCTTGCGTAATGGACATCTTAGGCTCGAATACTCCCGACTCAGAATCGCTGACCAAGAAGAGGAAGCCATACTCGGAATCGAGCGATCTACCGGCAGTATCCTCCCCGAGCTCGCGAGATATTGCAATACTGTAAGGACATCTCAAATGTTTGTGTTGAAAAATCAATGCCAACTTATTACACTAAAGCAGATGGACTTCAAATTGGCAGATGGAGTTTTCATCCCCCAAGTGTGGTTTCATGTCTTTTGGTCATGCCAGCCTTCCTGGTCCCATAATTTTTTACAGCAGCCCACTCTCCGTTTGCTTCGCCATAAAGCACTTAGGTTGCAGTTACACAAATAAACTTGCTTTATCACCTCATGCAGATAGAATCTCTGCGAAGGCCGCGCAAATATTTGGATACATTTCACATAATATTTCCCTCTCGGAAATGAATCTAAGGCATTATCCAATGTTTTTTGTCCTGTCTTCCAGTACTACTCTTCTTTCTTCGGTGTAATGAACGCCTATGACCGCCATGAGATCGAAAATGTTCAGAGGGTTTTAACCCGGAGACTGTTCTCTCAAGTCGCACCTGGTACTCGGAGATATCAGCTAGCGAACATTAAGTATTTGTGGGTTCTAAGACTCGAAGCTGGCCTTTGCTTCCTCAAAGCTCGATCTTGTGACACCTGTCAACACTCTTCCTTTGACCATGTTCTTCCATCTAGGGACAATTGTTTTGCACTTTGGAGAGTGTATTTCGATTTCTCTAATGCTTTTGATTGTGCTGACCATGCCTTCTTCTCTCGAAACTGTCCTCTTTCGAAATAGGTGGCAAACTTTTAAATTTTATATCCTCTTACCTGTGCACTCGTACACAACGAGTTAAGGTTCCCAATGCTGTCTCCAACCCCACATGTGTGAGGAGTGGAGTCATTCAGGGTGGTGTACTCGGCCCGCTTTTATTTTGCCTTTTCGTTAACGATGTACTATATTTATTTCAGAATGATGAGCCCCTCATGTATGCCGATTATCTTAAGGTTGCATATCGATATAAGCCGGCAGATCGTGACATCGTGCTTTAACTCCTAGAGAGCGACCAACAGGCCCTCGCCCAGTGATGTCACACTTGGCGCTTTTGTCTTTCTTGGCATAAATGGTCAGTCATGGTGGTTGCCGACGACCGCCAACCTCAACTAAGTTTTGATTGTGAAGCCATAAATGTGGTTGGGGTTATTAAGTATCTGGGTGTATCACACTCCAATCTCAATCTCAATCTCTCGGAGCACTGTGCCTTGATAGTCTCCAAAGCCCGTAGAACGACCCGGCTTATCCTCCGAAACTTCAAAACTAGGGGCATTAGAATGCGCCTTTTCAACATGTACGTTATGCCTGGCCTGGAATACTGTTTGTTTTTATTTAGCCTCATGCGTGCTACTGAGCGGAAGGAAATAGAATCTGTTCAACACTTTTTTACCAAGAGAATTTTAACCACGGAACACCGACATTTGTCTTACCAAGAGCGTTGCTGGCTTACCTGCCTTGATCCTTTATGGTTCCGTAGATTAGAAAAGGAACTATTTTTGCTATTTAAACTTTTATATAATCACACATTTAACCCACTCACCTCTTTAAGACTTCATATCCACCCACGACGTAACAGTCACCGTGAGGTCTTTTTATTTCTTCCTCTGGCACGTACTGTTAAATATCGTCGGTTTGGGGTCCGAATCCACCGAACGACTGTACCGTAGCGATGGCGTTTGTGGTCTCTCAACACTATAACCGGTCCCACCAGGGACAATTTCGTTGGCCAACGGCGACAGCTGTTTCTCAACGCCTCTACTTTGGCTATCACCAACTTCATGAAAGGAATTGACGTCCGATAGTCTCCGATACCTTGCAACTCCCCCCCCCCATTCTTGACGGCTGAAAGTCTGCCGCCAGCAGTTTTTTTTCTCCTGAACCCTCCAAACCATAAGAACCACCATTAACTATATTTTTATTCCTTTTCCACAGGAGTTTTTTTCCACTGCTGGGCAGATTTTAACATGATTTTAACATGATTTTAACAACTTTATGTCTCGTTGCGGATCAATTTTTTCTGTCCTTGGTGCCCTTCTTGACGGAAATTTGCCAACGCTTACGTCTCAGCAGTGTGAGAAGCTCATGACTCTCATTAACCTGGTTGCGACTGAGACTGAAGACAGGCACAAACGAAGTTTCAACTTTATATTAAAAAACGTTCCCAAGAATAGACAGCCAATTGATGTTGCCTTTCAATTCCTTTTTTCATGCGGCTTCAACTTTAGGGTCGCGGAAGCCAAAAGGCTTTCATCTAGGAGCAAGAATCCACCCATTCTTGTCAAACTCTTTTCATCGATTGAAGTGGATTTTATTTTCTCCCATTTGGAGCGATCAACTCAATATCTCAGGGCAAATAAACTTTTTATTAGTCGAGACCAGACTCCACTGCAACGAAAAATTTCTCCCACATTACCAAACGTAAAGCCACCCCCGAGTTCTACCCAAATGTCTTTTTCCTCTAAAGCAGTTTCTCCATCTGGTGTCGACCAAATACCGCCACTATCTACAGCGGCCCCAGTTCCATCTAGCTCTTCGACTGATCACATTATCACAGAGACGGTTAAAACTAGCCTCTTTAAAACTCCCCCACGGAGCAAGGATTGTTCAAATGCGGCTCCCAAATTTATAAGGGAGCTTGATCTTAGCAGTAAAGATGAGCTAGTCCTTGAAGCACAACCGGCTCCCAGCACTCAGAATAGTGATTTGGTTAATAAACT